ATCTATTTGATCAAATTTCAGTTTGACATGTACTGTGTGCTCGTAAATAGTAGGGTGGGGTAATATACAGGTCATGTCATGACCAAGAAGATAATTCTTCAGTTCCAAGTATACAGTGCATATATCTTTAAATTAGACATTAATCACCATAATGGTGCTGAATCCTGTCCACATAGTTAGAGTCTTGTTAGATTTCAGAAACAATTTTGGTAGAACAGTGAAACTAATCTGGAACAGCCATTGACTTTTCTATTGAGCTTCCCTCAAGGCAATCTTTAACTCTCTTTTTAATGTATAAAAGTTAAAACAATCAGGAGTCATGGGATGCAGATTATGATAGATGTGCACTCTCGGCTAAGATTATTGTGACTGAATACAAGTTGTTTCTTGATAGGTTCTTCGAACACCATATACTTAGGACGTTGTTACTGTCTTGAATGTATATATAACATGTATTTGACTTGTCTCCCGCAGGTTAGTGTGGGTACGCTTCTTGCATTTACCGTGGTAGCAATATCTATATTAGTCCTTAGATATATGCCTCCAAAAGAAATCCCACTACCACCCTCTCTCCAGGATTCAGTTGATTATGTTTCATTGGGGTATGATTGGAGCAGTAAAGAGACGAACGAAAGAGATGCAGAAGCAAATATTGGTACTTCTGATAACACCAAACTTTTGGTTGTCAAAGAGGATGCATCAATTGAGTATCCTCTTATTCCTAAACAGCTTGCCATAGGAAACTGTGAGTTATGCCTTTCCTTTTCTTTTACCAATCTCTCTATTATAAAGTAATAAAAGAATTGGTTATGCTTGATGACAGATGGAAAATAAAAATAAAAATTTTGTCCGGCAGTATAGCCAAAAATGTCAGAGTAAAATGTAAATTTATCTATCAGGGTCTATTAGACATGTTTCTTTGGTAACTAACACCAAAATACTCTTGCCAAATTTGTCACTAATTATTGTGATTTCATGTTATTCTTTCCTTTCTTTCTGTCATTTGTCATCTGTTGTTATTCTCCTTACTGCCATTTGTTGATGGGTGCAGATGTTAATGAAAGTAATCGGCGAAAAATTGTTGGGTGGATTATAGCATCCACTTGCTTAGGGGTGTTTGTCCTCACATATACAGCTTCAAATATAAGTCTTCCCAGGTGGGTTTATAGGGAGATTGCCGTTTCATTCTCCAAGCAGTCATGCTTTACATAATGATGTTTTTTTAAAAAAAAAAAAATCAATTCCATAGAGAATTCTGCTGCTGATTTTCAATGCAAAGTAAGTGGATCTTTCAAGGACTTGGCCTTACCCTTCGGGTAGGCTATGGATTGATGATATACATGATAATTAATACATCAGTTACAATGGGGTTTGAGTGCAGAATCATGTTGCATCCGCATCATCAACGTTTGTCCTGTCATTCCGGTATGCTTTGGTGTTTTTGCTTGCTTACAGAGTTGTGCATTTGCTGTTTCCAGCTCTCTTCGTTACACATTGTGTGGGATTAGTGGCATCCTTCTTCTGTCTGGCCTGGTATTCCTAACCTGTATAAACCAAGATGATGCAAGACACAACTTTGGGCACTCTGGAGGTATGGCTTACTTCCATCCTTGATAAATTTTTGTGGATAGTGTGAGTTGGGGTTTCATTGCTGTGCAACTACTCTAGACATCTATGCAGAGATATGTATCCTGTACTGGCCCAAAACGGGGGGAAAAAAACAGGTGTAGATAGCTAACGTCTTGGCTGCAAATCCTGTTTACTGACCAGGATGCTGTAGCAGATATCAGAATGAAGGATGGATTTATTAATATTATGAATCAGACTCCATCTAAATAAATCTCTTAAATCTTTCTTAATTTGTTCTAGTTTTTCTGGTTTGGATCCGAATCTCACTGAAGTTTGATGCGTGGTTGTGTTATACAAGATAGGAATAATTCCTCTCGATAAGAGCACCGTGAAGCGGTGGCTAAATTATGAGAACGAACCAAGTGTGAGACAATAGCTGTTTTGTTGATCTCTTTACAGGTTTCATTTGCCCATTCGTGCCTCTGCTGCCTATACTTTGCATTCTCATCAATTGTTACTTGCTTATTAATCTTGGGTAAGTGCTAACATTCAATCTTCGAAACTTATCTGTCAAAGCTTTGAATTGGATGAGGGTATCAATGCTGGAAAGTTACGTTAGGTTTTTCTGCTGCTATGTCATCTTGAAACAGGAGGGATGATTCGATTTTAACTTCTATTTAGTTCCAAAAGAAAGTCTTTTTTATGACCCATTTTTATAATAGAAAAATCAAATTTTATTGCCACTGAATATAGATGGAATTACTTGGAGGAACCAAAATGACAAGCTTTTTGTTAACTAGGAATTTACATGGAACTATACCGTTCAGTTTGTTTCAAGTCTTTGCATGGTAGTTTACATGTTCTAATATTTTTAATCTAAAACGAACAAAAAGTCCCTGCCCTAAAATAAAATTGCACTTGAATAATATACGAGAGAGTGCGGAGGGGCAAAAGACATGTCTACTGTATTTAGTGGACTTAATAGTGATAGGTTCAGTATAGTTTCTTGAAGGGGAAATTGCATGATTTGGCTAATTAGTGTTTTTGTCACAGGGCGGCAACGTGGGCTCGTGTTTCCGTCTGGCTGTTAATAGGAGCGCTTGTTTATTTGTTCTATGGTCGAACCCACAGCTCTTTAAATGATGCACTGTATGTGCGGGCAACTCCTGCGGATAAAATCCATCGGACCCGTGAAAGATATGTGGCTTAATCTCGGTGCATGATATTTGTTAAGCCACCCACAAACCCCAATACGTGGAGCGCGTTTGCAGCTTAAGATGAAGAATCATGGCCGCTTCACAAGTTGTATATGCAATCCCTGTACAGGAAACGCACCTCAAGCCCCTAGGATTAAGAGGTTTACTTCTAGAGAAGAGTGTAGTTGCATGCTTCAAATTACAGCCCCACTTCTTCTAGTACTTTTATGTATTGACAATGCACTTGCTATCTTTGTGTGATGGTGGGTGGTGGGGATCTGGGGCTAGCTCCACTTCAAACAATGTATAGATATACGATGTGTGTACATATATATTAGGTACTCGTTTAGATTTTAGTGGAGTGTAATAAATTATGAAAATGATTAATTAAATGATAGATTTTAATAATAATTGATTATATTATAACACAATTTATTTGGATATTTTTTTTAAATTAATCTTAATAGAATAAAAAATATTTGAATAATTTATTTAGAATTAATTTTATTTGTTTAAATTAATGTGAAGGACATTACCTTTTAAAATTAAATTATTAATAAATTTTAATTTAATATTATTAAAATTGATACATTTTATTTAAAAAGTAAAATATACTATATTACAAATTTAATTAATTAAAAAGTTTAAATTATATTAATATTAACATTTAAATTTACGTAAATAAGTAACTCAATATATCTTAGTTAAGATAAATTTAATAGAAGGGAAAGATTTAATTTTTAAATATCAAACATCAATTTTACAATAATTAATGAAAATGATAATATATAAATTAATCTTTAATGACATTATAGATATGAGTTGTATCTAACAAAGATGTTAGGCATTATCTTAAAATTTTAGCAACATAAAAAATATAGTAATGTAACAAATGATGCAAAATCTCTCTCTCTCTCTCTCTCTAGATCTTTATAATAATCTTTGTAATGATCCTAAATTTTAAATTAAATTAAATTAATTTTTTTATCAATTAATATTTTATTTGAATAATTGAATTTGAATTAGTTTTATAGTAAATGTTAAGTGAAAGATGATGATTAACAGGAATTTATGCCAACAACTTTTTTAAATATCTAAAATTTAAATTTTATTAAGGAAAAAAAAAAAGAAGAGAAGAGAGTTTAATTTTATTTTTATTTAATATTATGCCTTTTTATAATTTTTTCTTGAATCTTTTTTGTAATTTCTCCCACCACTTTTGATCAACTTTTGGCAAAAAGCTCATTAAGAGAGCTTACAGAAACATGCACGTTTAAGCCAATAATCGATTTTTAACTTTTTTTAACTGTTTGGATAGCTTGGCCCAAAAAATTAATTTTAGGTTATTTAATTAATTTCGGCCCTTAACCGAATACACAGTAATGTGAGATTGATTGGCCCACTAGCTCTAAATCGGAACGTGATAGAAATCATACTCTCTATTCGCTCCGCATGTTGCAATGAGAACAGTATGGTGGAGATTTCAAAGAGAAATTTGCAGTTAAACGTAGGCTTTGCAGCTGGGATTTCGAGAAGGGATCATGTGATTAAATAGAAGTTGACCGTAGCTTGGCGGTTAACCTTCCTTGGATTCAGCCTTTATGACTGAGATCCTAATGGGTCTACCAACGGTGAGAGTCTTCCTTCCGCACATTGGTTTCAGCTTTTATGATTGAGATTCTAATTGTTCTGCCTCTGCGGGTTACTAAGGAACCGAAAGGTGGTGAGCTCACAAGGAAGATAAAGTAGTAGCCATGGAGTCGATGAGTTGAACTACTTCAGTTCCAAAATGGCAGGGCATGCAGAATTATTTAGTGATTAAGAGTGTAGGTATGCGTTACTTGATACATATGGTCAGAATAAAAAAGATAAGGTAAAAATTCCAAATAATGTAGCATCTCAACTATAAAACAATTATTATTAATTAAACATTTTTATGTTTTTGTTTTTGTTCTTGATCTTTTATAAAGATCAATAATTCATGTGTTTGTGAATTAACTTCAACAGATTCGATCACGATTTGATCGCAACTCAAGCAGTAAACTCTAACTGAGGCTTTCACCAATCCAGTCTTCGATTTTCACAACACTAAATTCAATTAGGAGGAAGAAGAGTGACAAGAGAGTAAAACGGATAAATACTTCTAACTTTAGTTAGCCATAAAAAATCATGATCTAAATTATCAAATTTTTTAAATGTTACCAATTTACTATAAAACGTGGAAAAATGGATAGATAGTATCAATCATCAATAGAACTTAGAAGGGTAAATGTAAAGTTTGCACATTCCATATTGGGTAACACATTGCGAAAATATAGTGATAAATTCTACAAATAATACTAGGTACAAAACTTACGTCCACCACATTAAACATGTTGAATGAACAGAACCATAATCTAGTATTCAGCCAAATGTCGCAATTAGGAAGGCTTTATAAACGCTCATGAATTTAGCCACAAATGCTGCAAATTTGAACATACAAAACACAGAATGGGTCAGCAGCTCAAATTCATACTGAATGTCCCATCAATAAACAAGTGCACGTTCAGGCCAAAATACCTTCAATGTGGAAGATGGCCTTCTGTCCAAGACGCATTCTATGCTCCTGGTCCAATATGGTAGAAGAATCAGAGGAAACGGTACTAGAAAATGGCTGGAGAAACTAGCTAATTCCAAGCCCATATGGACTAAAAAAAAATAATAGCAATATTAAATAAAGCAGACAGAGTGCATTAAGAAGACGGACACCAATATGAACAATGACAACAAATTCCGTAGGAGTTGCATTGTGTTCGATAAAAATGTCACAAGAATCTTACAAAATTGAATTGAACCAGCAAAATACTTGCAGAAGACAAATTAGGTATGAAGATCTCAAGAAACAGACATAAACGTGAAATTCAGATGCCAATATTAAATAAACGATTATAATACACTCACATAATAAGCCGCCCAATGGCAGACCTCAAGCTTTAATTCTGCATCCAATTTCTTCAACAGTTCATAAAGAAGCCTCTGAGCCACCAAATACAAAATTTAAAGTCAAGTCGCGGTATGAAGATGATTTGGGATTGGCAACATTTTCTAAGATTGTATTAACCTTCAAGATGATCTCAGGAGGGATACAGTTGATTAAGAGCTCATACAATTTCCCTCGAACTTGAAACAACCTAAAGCATATGCCAATGAAAGAGACAGATAAATATATACATGCATGGAGAGATGTGAGATGCAACGCGGAAAATAAAGGCCACACAGATCACTTGTAAGCAATTGTGAAATCTGAGTTTTATCTCTATAATGGTAGCATATTAAGATAAGTTGACTCCACCATCAGATAGGCTATCCGTGAACCTGATCATTTATGCTGTTTGGTATGCAGGAATTTGCAAGGTTGAGAAGGAAATGTGACAGGAATGTTGTTAGTCAACAGAAACAATTTATTTCTCCTAAAATATTTGAACAGCAGTTAGCTATATCAAAGCAAACCTTTTTGGGCTTTGTTCTTTCATTATGTCAGATGCAATTTCAGAAATATATTCCTCCCAATCCATTGGTGGTATTGTTTGCTTGCTACTGAAAGGATACCTACAAGTCATATGACAGTAAGAAAAATAGGGAGTGGTCCATAGTTTGATGATCCATATTTACAGTAGTACATTAAAAGTAGATCTCGATTTACAACCATGGCAGTGCATCTATTAAAAAAAGGGATGCTTAACACGGAGCTTACTGTTGGACACGGCAAGTTTCAAAAGACAATATGGCCCGCCTTAGGTTCCGATTTGATTTCTCTGCTATGCGAGCAGCAAATCCAGAAGGAAGTTGCAGCCCTTCTTTCTTTCCAATGAACTCCAATGCTCTAACTATCTGGCAAATAGATCTTGCACAGATTATTATAAGAGGCACAATGACACTACTGCCAGAATCACAGCAATTTTCCTAATTGTAACATGATCCATTGCAGCACAGGTTACAAATTTACTGACCTGCTCTTCACTTGGTGCATTTATTCGCACATTTAAACAGCGAGAGCAGATTGCTTCTGTAACTCTTGAAGAACTATTGCAGCATAGAATTAACCTGCAATAAGCGCTGTATTTCTCCATTGTTCTGCGCAGAGAATGCTGAGCTTCTCTAGAGAGTTTGTCAACCTCATTGAGCACTAGTACTGATATGGCACAGAATCAGATATTGTAAGTAAACAAACAGTAAGAACACAAGCGGAAAGGTAAAGACCAGGGGTTGTAATTATTGCAGTTATTTTACAAGCCTTGGACAGAGGTTGGCTAGCTTATAAATGAATTAATCACTACAAAATAAAAGCACCAACACCCAGATGCAATAGACTCTAAACTATTTAATAACAGTGCAAGGTACCACTAGCATCTATTAACTAACTGACAATCAAATAATAAAACAACTGCTATTTACCTTTAAATCCTTTCTTCCCCTTGGTATCAATTGGTCTATTTTTAGCCATTTCCTTAATTACTTCTTGAACAATATATCTGTCCTGAAAGCCTGCATCACTGGGGCTCATTTCTATGTGATTGGCACTTGATAATGTTGTCAGCTCTATATCAATAGATCTACTTCCAGCCTGAAACCAATCTCAAATATTTACAAAAACTAAAAATAAAATGACAACAGTTCAGTTCACAGTGATGAATTGATCCAAACATTATTATAACTTATTCCTCAGCAGCCACAGGATGACAAGATATACAAGTCCTCCCTTATGGAGAATACATGATATTGAGATTAAAAGCAAGATAATCTCATATAACACTGGTATGGGTACAGTATACAGAAAAATGTGAGTGTATGTATGCGTGAGTATAAAATAATACATATAAAAGTACAAAATTTTTATTCATAACAAATAAATAAATAATATTTGCATGAAACGTAACAATTGCATTACAATAATATTGAAAAAAAAATGCATACTGATTCAACAGATAAAAATTAAAATACTAAAAAAAATCTTAAGACTAATTTAGTTGGGTTGTTTAATCTTCAATATATTGCTTGTCTTTTCACCTGACAACAGTCAAACCCAAGAAACGGGTCCAAACTCACCGAGCCTGTTTATAATCACTCTACCAGCCTCCAATGACCTAAAACCAACCGTGAAGAAAAAAGTTTAGGTTGCTTACCCATATCATCCTAGTCCCACATGGCACCAACTCAGCACCACAGGTTGGGGATTGGATATGTATGCACAATGGAATACACAATTCAGCATACCAAGAGGCACCCATATCCCCACATGCATGTAGCTGGGGAGGAGTGTGTGCTTGTTTGGTTATGCTTGTAGTTAATTGAAGACCATATATTTCACAGATCCGGATCATCTGCTCCTCCAAAGAGAGCAAATGATACTTTACATCTCAACCGTTCCTTTCATCACAATAAGCCACGTGATGAAACATATTCGGTAGTTTCTTTTGAAATTTTAGCAGCTTAGGTCACAACATAAATAATGCTCACGTCAATGAGAGAGAAAAAAAAAATCTTACATCCACTTTCCATGTCCTATTTTCCACCTTCACCTGCAATATAAATAGAGCTAATTCAGAAAGCAATAAAAGTGTAGGTTCAGGACATGCCAGGAGGGTTGTAACTTGTAATGAGAAAAACTATTTCTACTGAATAAACACAATAGACCAAAAGTTAGGCGCAAATTTCTTCATTTCACCTCCCACAAACCCGAAGAAACCCACTCAAAATATAGCTTCGTTTCATATACTCTCTTCAATTATCTCACTATGAAAAAGAATGAGAAACAGTAAAATGATAATTTAAGAAAAAATGTTGACCTTCTCGGCACTGTTCCCAAACATTTGTCGGAGAAGAGCCATGATTAGGGTTTTTTTGCCAGACCCTGGCGGGCCATAGAAAAGCAAATGCGGGCAATCCTGCTCCGTCACCTACATCAAGAATTACGAAGGTCACATAAAAAACCCTCAGAAATTAACCATACAAAGTGTACTGAAGAAGCTTAAATTGTGTTACAGGGAGAGAGTAGATAACCAGTTTCTTAAGATTTTGGGCGACTTCTTCGTGGACCACAATCTGGTCGAGGGTTTTGGGTCGATACTTATCTACCCACAACATGCTCTTGATCTTCGTCTACCTTCAGAAGGGCAGATACTGACGAGCGAGAAGAGCTCCTTTGGAGTCGGTACAGAGGGCAGAGTGGCGGGAAACACATCTCGCGCATCCTGGAGGGCTCCTTGTAGTGTAGGTTTTCTAATTAATTTAATTATTAAGTAATTGAATAAATTAGTCATGCTTAAGTCAAAACTCATTACCGTTTAACAATATCACTTTTTTTTTTTTTAATTTCATCACTAGATATCTTGAAAACCTGAGTATTATCACTCCTCACAAATGTGAGATTGTTATTATCAATGATAATTTTATGCGTGCTTTAAAAATATATTTGACATATTTACTTAATATAATTATATATTATATTAAATAATATCATATTAGATAGAGTTCAATTTTTTTAATGTCTTTTTAAATTTTTTTCTTTATTTATAATTATAATTAACACATACAATTTTCCATACTCAACACATTAACCAATATAAGAATAAAAATATAAAAATATCTTACATTTTAAACTAACAGTAACTTATAAAAAATGTCATATCTTATAAATAGGTGGGAGTAAAATTTATCCCGGTCCACAGAAATTATGACTTAAAAAGTAATATTTCGATGAGAACCTAATGTGAATATCCAAGCAATGTAAACGTAACCGTTAATTAATCATATTGTTGTTCATATTTTATTAATATTAGATTAGATTATTTTTGTTGGCTATAATATAATATTCCCTCCATTAAAAAATATAAAGCATTTTAACTAAATCTTACCCCCTAATAAAGTAATTACCCACTTTCAAACTAACTATATCTTTCCATACTTACTCCTATTAAATACCCTACAATAAATATAAAGTCATTATCAATAGAAGTACTTTTAAAAAAAGGAAAGACTAAAAATGCTTTACATTTTTTAACATCCAACTCTTCAAAAAATGTCTTACATTTTTAAACAAAAAGAGTACAACTAAATTTGTTTATATTTTAAAGTAGATTTTATTTTCAAAGGAAAACATAACCAATAATTAATCATATTATTTACATTACACAATATTTGAGGTTCATAACTAGAGTTGGGAATAAAGACTGGGCCTGAAAGTCTTGTTTAAATAAGTGTTCGGGCTTAAAAATAGGTAATTTTTAGAGTAATCAGACTTCTAAGCTTGGCCTTGCCTTGAAAAGAAGAGCTTAAGCTCGAGTAGCCCTCCTAGCCTTGTTATAATTTTTTTAAATTAAAAAAAAAACTAAAAAATCAAATTAAGGATTTTTTTAAATATAAGATTTTTTCAATTTCAAGAGTATGGATGTTTCTTCCATTGGGAAATTTGATAAATTATTATTTGAAAGAAACTTCCTTTAATGGTCATCAATTTTTAAAATTACATGTGTTGCATTGGTTGAAAACTAATCAATAATAATTTCCTAATATTTCAAGTATGGCATGTAATGTTCTAAGTATTTTGATCACTATAATAACTAGTGAATCTACTTTTAGTATAGGTCTCATGTACTAATGAAGAATCATTCTTGCATCCTTTCAAATAATGTGCAAGTATTAATTTGTATTTGGGATTAAATGTTTTTATGCCATTTTATAATAATTTTTATATTTTTTTCTTTTGACATACATACATACATACATACATATATATATGATAATAACACCATTTTGTTAATATTTATTATTGGTGATGAGGAAGAAGTTGCAAAAATAATTAATATTGAACATTTACCTCTATCTTTAACTTGCATATAAGGAATTTAAAATTCTATTTTTAGATAATGATGAAAAGGATTTGGATTAAGATTGATGAAAGTCTTAATCTTCATTTTAAATTTAGATTTTTAAATCTTTTTTTAATGTGAAACTTTAATTTTTTTATGTTGAATTTTAGAATATTTTATTTAAATTATAATATTAATTTTTTATTTTTTCAAATGTGAGCTTATAGGCCCGGCTCTGAGCCCTTTGAATAAGGACCAGGCCTCTAGATTAGATCAAAATTAGGGAGTCAAACTTTAAGGTGTAACACACCAAATTTTTTTTTTAAAATAATTTAACTCAACCATAGTTGGGTTACAGCCACCCAACACATTTTTATATCAATAATTTTAATATAAAATATTTTATAATTGGCTTCAACTCATACACTATAACATTTCAGATAAATTTTTACCTCCCACATGCCATTAGGCTAAATCACATTTGTCTATCCTTATACTCCCAACAAGTAAACTAAATCACATTTGTCCATCCTTATACTCCCAACAAGTAAAATAAGCAATTTAGTCAATTTTCAACACAAGTCAGTTATTTGACCTTATAATCATGCCATTTTAATCAATCCAAAGTAAACCTAATATTAAAATTACAGTCATCCAAATTGTACCAAAAATAGAAATAGTTTGAAAGGCATAATTACATTTATATATTCATATAATTGACAATAAACAAAAAGCCCTAATATTGACAATATAACACATTATAAATCATAAATTAAATACTCAAAAAAGACAGTGGATCTATACCACTAAGCCTCTGGGACTCCTCCATGTGTCACTCGTGGCTCTTCTCCTAAAAATTGTTAACCACATAATGAGACTCAAAAGTTCCAGTAACCAAAGCTAATTTATGATAGTGTATACAAACAGTTAAGTGTGTGCTTACTAAGTAAGAATTAAAAATAATATAATTCCAACAAATATAAGAAATATTACAATACACACAAACAACCATCCTTATATCCCTCCATTAACCTCGAGCCGTAGCCCTCACTCAGTGCTAAATTATCCGGCCAAAGGTAGATTAGCCCGAGCGCTTATAAGCCACCTATTGAGCTCCAATAGGGGCGTACCACGTGGCACATAAATACAACAATAATAGCAAGTCTCCCAACACCTCCCACAATAATTAAATAAATTCATAATAATATTGCACAATTATACAATATTACAAAATTCATAATTTTCTCAATAATCACCCAATTAACATGAAGTAACACTAATCACAAATTAAAAGCATGGTTACCTTGTGGCTTTTTCAATAAATTATTCCTTAAAATTTCTCTCTCACCACAATCTTCACCAGTAATACAATCTACAAATAACATATTATTTATAAATATTAGTTTCAATTTTTGAAACTAATAAAATAATTCTAATAATAGAATTAAAAATATAACATAATTCCTAATCTCAATTTTAATACAAATCTATAGTTAATACTATTAAGTAAAATTTTTAACTCCACTTTTAATTATCAATAAACATTAATAATCTAAAAATCAACTTCTAAACTAATTTCTATTATCAAAATTTTCTTTTTATTTCATAAATTCGTACCTAAAATACTCAAAAATTAAAAATTGAGTCTTTAGTTTAGAATCATAATCCTATAACCATAATAATTTATTTCTCATCCCAAATAATCATCTAAACCTTAATAAATCAACATATATTTTCAGATCTAGTTTAGAATTTGATCCATAAGCCACAGATTCAAAGATCATCAATAAATTTATACTCTAGAACATTTATTATACTACTGACAACCTTAAAAATCATATTTATTCAACATAAATTCATCCCTCTTCCATATCTTAAATTTTTTACCATTACAAACTCAGAAACTAAAGAAGAAGAATGACTAAGAAAAAATTTTAGAACACTTACTTAGTCTTGAAAAGCTTAAAATCACACCCTAAATATCCTATTAAAAACTCTTACCTTAAAAATTTAGATATTTCGCACCGGCGACTCGCTTCTCTCCACCTCAGCTCGCGCGCAGGAAAAGAATTGAAGAAATGAAAGGAAACGGGTGAGTTTTTATAAAAATTCAGTGGGTCCCACATATTTTTTTTTATTATTTCTTCTTTCCTCTCTCTTATTCTCTCTTTTTTATTATTTTATATAACTATTGATGCATGCGGCGGCCGAAAGCAAATTTCTCTTTTTCTTCTTCTCTTCTTTTTTTTTTGCATACCTTTTTTTTATAATAATAATTTAATAATATTTTTTAATTAATTAATTAATAATAATTTTTTTAATTAATTTTTTTAAAAAAATTTTAATTTAGAATTATATCCTAAGTTAGATTTAATGATCATTTCCTACTAATTTATTTACTTCTAAATATTTTTTAAAATTTCTATTAACCTAAATTAACTATTAAAATTTAAATTGAGATGTTACATAAGGCATGAGCTTTTAAGGGCCGATAGAGTTGAGAATAAAGATCAAGCTTGGAGGATTGGGCTTGGCGATTCTGTTTAAATAAGAGTTTGGGTTTTAAAAATTAGATCTTTTTTAAAGTAATTGGGTTTGAGAGCTTAGCCCTAATAAGCCTTGTGAAAAGAGCTCGGGCGGCCTTTTAAGCCTGTAATTTCTAGCATGATAGCTAAAATGAAGGAAAAATTTGAAAAATATTAGAGTGATTATAGTGTGATCTTTTCAATGGGAAGTCTTTTTTAATCAAAGGGCAAAGCTTGAAGCAATTGAGTATTCTTACTCAGTGGCTGATCCTTTGAATTATTACATGAAAGTTGATACTATCAAGCAAAATTCACACACATGCACACGCATAAGCACAAAAATAACACAATTCAATTCACACACAAGAAAAAAACACAATTTGGCATGCGCGTACACCCACACATGTGCGCGCACACAAATATTTGATTAATATTTATTATAAGTAATGCACACACATAAAAATAACACAATTTGGTTTACACACACACAAAAAAAAAAATAACACAATTTGGTTAACATTCATACAAAAATAACGTAATTTGGTTGATATTTATTGTAAGTGATGAAGAAAAAGTTACATAGATAATTGATATTGAATCTTCCCCTCCATCTTTAATAAGTTGACATGCATTTGATGGATCTAAAATTTAATTTTTAGATGATAATGAGGAGGATTTAAATTTACATTTATGAAAATTTTACTTTTCATCTTAAATTTAGACTGCTAAATCTTTATCAAATTTTATGTTAATTTTTATGTAAGATTTTGATTTGTTTTATGTTGAATTTTAAAATATTCTATTTAAATTAAAATGTTAGACTTGTTCTTTTGTGAAAGAGGGATTAAGGGCCTGGCCCTG